ATAAGTGAATTTTTAAATAAAAAATTAATTATATAATAATATATTATATTATAAATTTATACTATCATATAATATTATAACCATAGCACTTTTCGAGTAACTATAGTCTAAAGTAAAAAAGAAAAGTTTTAACAACACAAGATCACCTCCTTTCCGGTTTGTCTTGGCAATAGAAGAACGCCATGGGAACTGGGTCGTTTGACTTGTTTGCATTTTCACCTACCATAGCACTGTGGTTCCCAAACAATGCATTATGCTCTTTTGTCACAAACACCGAAAGCAGGACCCGTCTTGCATTTTACAAGCTCCATTTCACCCATTGCTAGGGGTGGGCAAATATGGTTTCGGCATCTACCGAATCCGATATTTCAGTACCTATACTTATTCTGTAATTGAGTTTTTACTTTCAAATACATTAGATCCATAGCATGAATGAACAAACCAACTATCACAAATCCAAGCAAATTTGAAGCATCCAAATTTCAATAAATGTCAGTAAGCAATTAAGCATCATTACTTCAATAGCATAATTTAGGCCTTTCATTAACATTACAATGAATATCAGAAATTTGAACTTGATATAGGGGTTTCAATTAAATGACTAAATTTTAGAAATTTCTTGATTTATAGTTTTTAATGAAATCGTAAATAAAAACAATTATCATAATTTGAGAATATTTTACCTGTTTTAGCTTGAATGCAGATATGGAACCTATCCTTGTAACAGAGTCTCGAAACCAGAATTTAGAAGTGCAATCGAAGAAGAAAGGATCGTGTTACGAACTCGAAATCAAATCTGGAACCAAGATTAGGTTTGGTGTTTCTAATATTAGTATATCACAATTGGAAAAGGGGAGAAAAAGGTTATGACTACCACCAGGTGGTGGTAGTGATAAGCAGAGAAGATGACAAAGGAGATTGAGAGCTAGAAAAAGGAGATTGATTTTCAAGAGAATGTGAAAAAATACAAGTGTAAAAGCTTTTATAATTGAGAAAATTTGATAAAAGTTCATGAAAGATTAGGCAAGAATGGAGGGAAATTGATCTTTGGAGTTGTAGCTTTGGTAGGGAAATTGATCTTTGGGGTTGGTGCTTTGGAGGGATTTTTTCCAGAAGGGAAAGTGTAAATGACGAAGGTGAAGGCGGTACGGTAATTGCATCATTGTTTTTTTTTTGGTGCAAGCGATTGGATTATTGTTGCCACTGCTATTTATGTTTTATTTTTTGGGCCTCAAGACTTGGGCCTTAGTTCGGTTACTCAGGAGGTCCTATTTAGTTTTTGGTTATTAGGCCTCCTGACCAATACCGAACCGAAGGCTTATTGGTTTTTCACCAAAACCGACCTCAAATTCACCAAAACTAATTCTTTCAAACCAAATTCGCTTTTTTGGTTCGATTTTTGGTAACCAACTGGATGCTCACCACTAGTTCTGGTTTCCCACTCCGTGTTCCCAAACACTATTTCCAATTAAAATTAATTGAAAACTAGATGAAATCACAACACCAGTTTTTTTTTTTTTTTTTTGGAATGGCATACCCATATTTTGATTTGGGTGATTTTCAATTTTGAGATTCAACTAATAACCACAATGAATTGAGAATTCTAATATTCACCAAACTCTTAGATTTTATATAATCTATATTAGGAATTCACTTATTCCAAACATAAAACTTTAAACACAAATCTGTTGTTAATTTTGTGTGACACTCTATTAAAAATCTCAAGAATTAAAATTTCTCAAAAATTTAGATCTATGGTAACTTAAAGCGAAACCAAACAAACTCACACATTATTATTTAAGGTTATTCTCATCCAAGATCACATTCTAGATATCTTTAGAACAAAGAATTGTGAATTCATGCAAATAAGAAATTATAAACCTTCTATCAAAAAAAAAAAGAGAAGGGGAAATTATGAACCTCATAATAATATTCAGAGTTCAGTTCTTTTGAAAAAAGAACAATCATTGGCAATGTTAGTATCATAATCAGATTTCAAGATAAGATGACATGCTGCCACATCAAAACGATAGCAACAGATTGACTTCAGTAGAATTACAAAACAAACAATTCATCACATGTTACTGATTGGATGCAACGAAAAATTAATTAAACCCAAATCAAATATTTAATTGATTTTATGAGTCTTAGATCTAATTTGTATGACTCTGATACCATAGGTAGGAATCTAATTAAATAGTTAATCTCACAAACTAGATTTTAAAACACCAAATCATTCAAATTATAATATGTAGCATACAAAATCAATGGAAACACACCTTAATTTCCATACTAAGTATATTACCCAAAGATCACTAAGATCGGGGGGGTGGGGAGGGGAAGAGAAAGGTTAATTGGGTTTCATGGGACAATGTTTGTAAAAGCAAGGCATTGGGCAGGCTAGGAGTGAAAGACCTTAAAAATTTTAATCTTGCCTTATTGGGGAATGGTGGAGTAGACTTGCAAGCGGGGAAGAAGGGTTATTGCACAACATCATCAATCATAAGTATGGGAGTCTAGAGGGTAGGTGGTTTGAATGGGTACAGGAGTATAGCCAAAAGAGTTCTTTATGGTGGAGAAATGTCTGTAGAATCAATCAATTAGACACAAATAATGAAGGATGGCTAGTTGAGGGCTTTAAATTAAAATTAGGAGAGGGGAATTCTATCATGTTTTGGAGGGATACATGGATAGGGGATCAATCCCTTGCTATCTGGTTTCTTAGACTTTTTTCTTGTTTCAACAGATAAAGAGAAGAGGATCTCACAAATGGGTAATTGGATCGATGAGCTGTGGCAATGGACATTAAACTGGAGACGACCGTTGTACGAGTGAGAGGAAGACATCTATGTTGAATTGCAGACCTTACTCAATCAAGTTCAACCAACCAAAGATAGCAAGGATAGTTGGATGTGGACGCACACTAAAGAAGGAAACTACTTAGTCAAATCAGCTTATACCCTTCTTTCCAACAACAACCGAGATAGCAGAACTCAAATGCACAAAAGCACATGGAGCAAACTTATTCCTACTAAAATCAGTGCGTTTGGTTGGCAAGTCTTGCAGGATAAAATTCCTACAAAGCTTAATCTATATAAGAGGGGAATCATAACTGATCCTAGCCTGATTATGTGCGGTATGTTTGGAGGTAGTATTGAAGATACCAACCATCTTTTCATTCACTATAAAGTTGCTTTTATGGTCAGAAGTAAGTGTGCACAATGGTGGAGGTTCCTCTCAATCCAACTCGAGACTTGCCAAGATGATTTTGAACAACATAGACCCCTTGTCAAAGACTGTTCCGTGAGAGTTGGGTGGGATGTAGTATGGTTCTCCATCGTATGGTCATTGTGGCTAGCAAGAAATGCAAAGATTTTCAGGAACCAGGAGCAAGAGACTGACAGAATTTTTGAGCTCGTTCGATTAAAGGCCCTCAATTGGATCAAGGGCAGGACAACATGCTACTCTTTCACCTTTCATGATTGGATGCTGGAACCTGTCCTATGTCTTAAAGATAAAAGAGGTACACATTAAGTTTTACCTCCATGATATGCAGGTTGTTGTTATTGTCACTTAGTGGTTGTTTGACTGTGGCTACCTTTTCACTGGTATATGTCCCTATTCTTATGTTAGCTGGTATTTATCCTGGTATTTTGTTATCCTACAAGGTCTAATGATTTTGCCATTGAGCAATTAGTTGACTTTGGCTAATTCTTTTGTTGGTACATAGTGGTCAATTTTATGCTAGCTGAAGTCAATGGATGCTCAGTGATAATCTATTTTGTAACACGGGCAGGAGTACCCCTTGTACTCCATTAAATAAATTTCTTTTGCTATGCAAAAAAAAAAAAAAAACCCAAAGAGCACTAAGATCATAATTCCATTCTGCAAAACAAATATGATTAGTATTGAGATCTAGGTCTTCCTTTCCCTATTCAACTTCTGTATAGTAACATTCAATGAAGCAAGTCGCTCTTTAACTCCACGATTTATAAAGTTAGAGTATTCTGAACGGAAGAAAGGACATAACCGATTATAATAATTTTTTAGACACCCCCATCAAGTAACTCATTTTTAATTTTAAATCCTACACCTATTCATAATTTCATATCACATCATATAAATCTAAGATACAACTTCAACCTACTTGGATTACATAACTTTATTGAGTTTTACCGATTTTCTATTTGACCCATTTTTATAAACCAAAAGCAATTAGCAGCAGCCCCACAAGAAAATTTCTAACAAAAAAAATATTTTGTGTCTCGGGTTTTGATGAACATGGGACAGCACTTGAAGGTGGGTAAATAGAAGAAGTGCAAGGTAGAAAGCGGATAAGAGTGTTAGTCTACAAGCTGAATTGGTTGACGAAGGCATTCACCGAAATTCCAAGAAAAGAAAAAGGAAAATGGTTTACAAGGTAATTGTAGTGGCTGTTAATTGGAAAGGAATGTGTGATGATATGCAAAAGCAAAATTATGTGTTTGGTGCGAATTTTCTAAGAATAATGCCAATATATGCAGATATCAAGTGGTATGTTGACAAGTCAAAAATGGCTTTGTTGCCTTAAAAAAAAAATGGTGTTATTCAATAAGATGACTTGCAAATATATTGTGTTCTACATTGTTAGGATGTCTTCTAGAACTTTATTAGAAGTGGGCAATGTCTGAGTAAGGTTCAAAGAGTTACTGGCTGTACAAGTACTAGAGAGTTTAATACAAAGAAGAAATACGTAATGGTCTACAGTTGACTGATATTAGTACAAGAAGAAATGTGGCTGAGGATGTGTTACCAAAATACAAATCTGGTTTTGTGAATTTAACCGTTGAGGACAAGGGTTCTTTGAGAAGGCGAGAATGGCGTCTACAACTATGGTGCAAAACAAGACTACCAGCTATAAGATTTGCAACCCAAACTGAGTTTACCAAAGAGCCTTGGAAAAAATGGGAAGATGTGGGAACTGTGGTGGCTTTATTCGACATTTTTCTAAATTGATACTAGCATGATTGTGGTTCCAGTTAATCATGTAGTTTACCTGCAGGTGAACAAGTTTCAGCGGCTTATTAAACAACTCGTCTTCTTGTGGCTGATTTTCATAGGAACCAAGTTCAGATTCTTTGATGGTTTATTGAATTTAACTCTAATCCTTGAAGAAAAGGATTATTTGAAGAGAAGGGCGGTTGATACATGTCAATTTAGTAGAGAAATTAAACAGGATCAAATCATAATATGATTGATACTAATATAAAAGAAGAAAAGAATAAGATCTAATTATAGAAAAAAAGAATATCATGCCATTACGAAAATTGATCAAATCAAGAGAAATTAATTTATCAATTGATTAATTTCAAGGATTTGATATAGATGTAATCTCATTAATAATAAGATTTTTGATTAATTATTATTGCCTTATACTATGTATCCCTCATCCTATAAATAAGTTTGCTCATATAAGGAAAGTATGGAAGAGAAATAAACGTGCAAAACCCACAAAGCCTTTGTGTTGTGGACTAGGGGGCCTCAATGCATTATGACATCCTAGCATTATCCCAAATCATGTAATATTGTGTTTTCTTCTCTCTCACTTATATTTTTCTTTGTTCATATTACCTGCAGTTTTTTATTGATTGTTATTGCTTTAGGACATTGTATTTTAGGCTTACAGTTTTGTACATAATTCTTGCATAAAAGGGTACTCTGTATCTTGGTATTTTCAGTCAATGAAAATACAGAGTTCTCTTCCTTCTTCTTTTTCCCTTCTGATCCTCCTTCTATTCAGACCATAGATGATTTCTTCGGATCCCTCTTTTTCTCTGGAAAGTGATAAAGCATCTTCTAACTCGTCGTCTTGATACGTGCTGCCGTTTTCAAAGGTCAGGTTTGTGTGTTGGTATTTGGGGATGGTGAGGTCAAGGTCCATAACGACCAAGACCAAGGGTATCACTAGCTGCTGATTTTTCCTCTCAACCTCAGGTTAATTATATTAAGCAAATTGGTTTTGGGTTTTTGTTTTTAGCACGCGATCAAAATTAATTGCATGCCCTCTCTGTGTTTGGTTACTGAGAAAGTACAGGAAAATTGAAGATAATTATCTGGCCCAATTTCGTGGACCAAATGATTAGGATACGTGCACCCACCCCCATCAAATCCTGTTGACATCAATGGAGAGGTTCCCACAATGATGACCATTTTCATCCAACTTCTGCCTGCTTGCTTTTGTTTTTTTATTTTATCTTAGATAACCAATTAAATATGGTAGTGGGTGAAATGGAGCTTGTAAAATGCAAGACGGGTCCTGCTTTCGGTGTTAGTGTCAAAAGAGCATAAAGCGTTGTTTGGTAACTATAGTGCTATAGTAGGTGAAAATGCATACAAGTCAAACCACTCGGTCCCCATGGCATTCTTCTATTTGCCAAGACAAGCCGGAAAGGAGGTGATCTTGTGTTGTTTTAAAACTTTTCTTTTTCACTTTTGACTATAGTTAATCAAAAGTGT